TTTTAAGTATGTATATTTTTAAATATGTAAAACTGTTTGTTCCTCAATAAATTAAAAAAAAAAAAAAAAAAAAAAAAAAATTAGCAAAAACATGTTTGAGTAAACTTTTCATCAGTGTATATTCCAAATTTATCAAGTACTTTTGATGCATGAGAACTGTGCCTTATTATTATTATTTCAACCCAGAGCCGCAGCCTGGTCGGGTCACGAAGCTGTAGTAAATCGCCTCCTAGCGGCAGGTGCGAATCCAGACAAGGCAGACGCCGAAGGCCGGACCCCTCTTATCGCAGCAGCTTATATGGGACACGCGGATATTGTACGAGCCTTATTGGACGCTGGTGCTAACATTGACCACGCTGATGAGGATGGTAAGTCCGTGTTGTTAATCGCTTCTTGAGTTACTCAAGAAGCGAGTTTTGTTGTGGTGGTGGTTACGTTCCTGTCAATTTTGTTACTTTTATTAATACAAAGATTAATACGAATATTTGGCACAAACTATACCAAAGAACATACTTTCGCGCGCTCTACCACGCCTGTGTTACAGATCGAGTCGGCAGACATTACGAATTTCTCTACGTGTTACAGACCTTGGTTTTTTGGTATTAATGGTTTTTTTGCCTTACTGCCACCTGTGAAGAAATCTATGAAAGTTTTATTCACTCTTGTTCTTGATTAGCAGGTTCGAGTTTCATCGGACTTATAGGATTAATCACTTTAATTTTAATATTCGTTGCGTTTACTTTGTGTGCCTAAAACCATGCAGATGAATATGTTCTACGATTTGGAGGATAATAAACTTGATGTCCACTGTATTTTAACAAATCCTGTCGTTTGTTAAAGGTCGAACCGCATTGTCTGTGGCTTCCCTTTGCGCGTCCGGCGGTGCCTGCGCAGCCCTCCTATTGGAGAGAGGCGCTGATGTCATGAAAGCGGACAGAGATCGTGCCACGCCTCTGCTCGTCGCCGCATTTGAGGGACACACGTAAGTGTTTATTTTATTACCCGTTCTATATGGACCGGTGTGTACCGGTGATGTACATATCAAAATCGTGTTAATAATTGTGACATGGCTTGCATTAATATTTTAATTAAGTCTGTGTTGCGTAAGAGAGTTATCGAGCTGAAGTAAAACGCGCGAATTAAGCAGTTTTTAAACCAGCTCAAGCCGATTACACGTCGGTAAGTGTGGTAACTACCTTATATTAGAAAACGAATGTTATAAATATAAAAATAATGTACTCTACTACAATCCCGTACTTCATACGCCCATTCCGATTCTGGAACGAAATCGGTTGCGGTTTAGTTACTTGAATGATCGTCCTTTGCAGCGAAATTTGCGAGCTTCTGCTGGAAGCAGAAGCCGACATCGAGTCGGCGGACGTGGGCGGGCGTACGGCGCTGTGGGCCGCGGCGTCGGCCGGCCACGCGCGCACCGTGCGGCTGCTGCTGTTCTGGGGCGCCTGCGTCGACAACATGGACGGCGAGGGGCGCACCGTGCTCAGCACGGCGGCGGCGCAAGGTATTACCCATTGTGGAAAATAGATGGCGTTGTATACAGTTTCCTTTAGTACCTCTTTTCGGTCAACGATTACGCCGTGCACAATTCCTTTGAGTTGATGTCTTCTGATGATAATTCCTTTGTGACATGTTCGGCGAGAGACACATTGTCCTCAGCGTGGCTGCGGCCCAAGGTAGTGCCACTTGTAAACAACAGATGGCGGGCGCTATTACATATTTACTTAGATAACTGTGACCTGTGTGCGCAACAAGTTATAGTGCCCTTCTAGTATACCCTAATGGTCCGATCCTTGGCAATGTACATTGAACGTTAACCATTACGGCCTGTAGCAGAATTTCAGCAAAGCTATGATCGATATTCGTTTGTAGTTCACTCATAGAGCCAAGAGTTGCTCAACAAGAGTTAACAAACACGTACCGAAACAAAAGCGACACATTTGAAAATGTTAAATATTTAAGAACAATACAACACGCAAGCACTGATTAAACAACCTCCATTATCGCAATTAAGTACTCCAGGCAATGACTATGCTTATTCGGTTTTCAGGCAATGTGGAAGTAGTTCGACAGCTTCTAGATAGAGGCTTGGACGAGCACCATAGAGACAATTCTGGATGGACGCCGTTGCATTATGCTGCTTTTGAAGGTATTACTATACTAAAGTAATTGATACTTATGCATCAGAAATACAGAACAATATGCAATTGTAGTATAATAAGACAATTAGTGCAACTCCCACTTGTTCGTTAATGCCTACACGTCACTCGGAGCGTAGGGTTGACACATTATTATTTTTTCATTTCAAGTTCGTATTTATGCTGGGTGTAGGCTGCATAAAATAGGATTTTATGTTCTAGTGCATACAATAAAAAAACCATCACATTAAATATGTCTAATTGTTGTAATTTTACATTCAATTTTAATTAAATAATCGTTTATTTGTACTATTGCTGTTTAATTTCCTAGCAATCGAAGCGAAAAGCAGAGTGTATAACCCGTTCATAAAACCCATTTTACCCTCGACTTAGTATCCATATATTTAGATATACTCGTCTCGGGTGAACTGACGCGTTTTATGCACTTGTTGTACAATCTACTATAGTTGTACAGTCGATGTCCTAAGGGCGCATTTATACGACATGAATTTCCGCGCCCGCGCAACGACCGCGCGGTAGATTTCTTCAGAGGCATTTAAATGTTAGTACCTTGTAAATAGAATTCAGATTCTTCAGTAATGTACATGAAAGCGTGGTAACTGAGCGGTCGCCGCGCGGCGGCCTCGCGAAACCTTTCTCCTCGTGTAACTGGGCGCTAATGGTGCGTACAGATCTGGCGCTGCATGTTATCATATATACGTGTTACTATATGTGGCGCGCGAATGACGCGCGAACAGATCGCACCCTAAGATACCTGACCTCCCAAGCCGATTTTGTTGACCTTCCATTCTGAGCTCATAAATGTGGAGCAAAGTGTTTAACAAACCTAATCTTTACCCTGTAAGCCGTAAAATTCAATTTGGTATGACTTCCTGATTGTATCATTAGTGAATAACATTGTAAGAAAGCGCTTAAGCCAATTTGATCTTTAATGTATAGTTTTTCTAGAGGCCGTCGTGGTCTAGAGGTATGAGAATTTCTTTAGAACTTGAGGCGGAGCGTGGTTCGATTCACATAAAAGATAAAAATAGCTATGGCTATATAATATTGTGAATAATATCTTTTTTAACCTCTGGATAGGTGTAAAGAGTGTCTTAGAATGTTAGATTCTCCATGTAAACCACCACCCATAAACTCCGTCAATTTCTGTAAAATACTAATAGCTCCAAAGCCTGATTCAACAATGATTTTATGTCTGTGTTTAGGCTTTACAATTATTTTCCTACAGGTCACGTTGAAGTATGCGAGGCTCTTCTAGAAGCAGGTGCGAAGGTAGATGAGGCAGACAACGACGGCAAAGGGGCTCTCATGCTGGCCGCACAAGAGGGTCACACAAGACTTGTAGAGGTGTTGATTGACGACTGGAACGCACCTGTCGACCAACGGGCGCACGACGGAAAGACTGCGCTTAGGTAAGATCAGTTTACTGGGACGAACTTTTACGAACCTGAAACATTTGTTAATCATGGAATCTGTAATTTGGTTCTCATAAGGAGGTGCTGGTTAAAATTCCACTACGGCTTATTTAGTAATTCAATTTCTGCTGTGTTCGGGTAGTGCTTCCGGAGACAGTGATTATGGGACCCACAACCACCCATAACACACACCATATACACCACAGACGTACCATACACACGTACACGTTACACACTACAAACACCACACACACACAGCAAATAAACTTGTGTAATTCTATTGAACAATATTTTAAAGGTATTGTCTCTCTTCCCACAGACTAGCAGCCCTAGAAGGTCACTTCGACACGGTGCAAGCCCTGTACACGCGCGGCGCTGACGTGGACGCGCTGGACGCCGACCGCCGGAGCACCCTGTACGTGCTGGCGCTGGACAACAGGCTGGCCATGGCGCGGTACCTCATCTCGCAGTGCGGCGCCCGGGTGGACACCACGGACAGCGAGGTACAGAGGGCTAGACGCGCAGTATAGTCTGTCATTTCTAATTTACGTACTCTCGGTGAAGGAAAACATCGTAATTAAACCTCTATGTCAAAGACCCTTCGCAACCCTTCGAAAACGTGTCTAGCAGCGAGACTTATTATGCTTAATAAAAGACATGAAGCAAATGCTGCAATGTGAGACGTCTTATTTTTTTATTTAAATACGTATTTAAATCAAACAACTATTACCCAAATAATATATCGTCTGCTTATAGGTAAAACTACGTAAGTGATATTTTCCGCAGAAAACACACGTTATTAGAGCGAAAACGATGTTGCGCGATTCATTTTCTTAATGCGTCGATAAGTGTGGCGACTTCTTTATTTAAAAATGTAGCTTTTCGTCCGTATTTTTGGTTTGCAGCAAGGGAGACTGGACGTGAATCTATTTTCGCACTTGTAATAAAACTTTGTTATATTGTTCGTCACACTAAATGGCGTTATAATTAATTTATTGTTGTTTTAGGGACGAACACCGCTCCACGTGTCCGCGTGGCAAGGACATACGGATATGGTCAATTTGCTTATCAAAGTTGGTAAGTAATAGATAACAATCTGGTTCCCGTGGAGTGAGGAAACTATGAAGTTCACATGATATTTATAATTTTGTTAATAATAGTATACAAAGTTGAGCATTTGACTAACAAAAAACTTTTCTATTTTAGTAACCAAATTTTCTACCATTCGAAGTGATTGGGACATACCAAGATATAATATAAAACACGCTAGTTAGTTTGCGGTTGCTGTACTTTATTTATTTAGTACAGAGAAAACACAGCTGCACATAATTGTTGAGTTAGATAATGTGGTAAGGTACTGAGGTCACAAAAGCCGCATACATAATGGCAAGCTAATTCATTGAATCTCACATTTGTGCGATGCGAACGCGTGTTGTTTTCCCTATTTGCTACTTATCTTACCTGCAATTTTGGCTTTTTTGAAAATATTCTTTTTTATTTTTAACATCTTTATGCACTATACACCCTTGTGCCTCTTATGTCATTGTCGTTTTTATGAAAGTAGTTCGAAAGAGGCAGCCTATATAATAACAATATAATATGTTTATTTCTCCACAAAAACACGCAAAGAAGGTTCTCAGTAATTTAAGATATAGTTACAGTTTTCTGGTGCTTGTTAAAGTCTTCATATCTGTACTACAAGTCACCAGGCCCTCACCCCTGGGAATGATACGTACTATATTAAGACATTACTAAGAAAATATCAAACTTGAAAGAGATAAACAGGCCTGTGCTAGGTCCACGTGTCCATTGTACCTGCGACATTAGTCTAGTAATAGTAGCAGTTGAGCTCCTTGTGAAAGAGTTCGTCCAGGGAAGTTCTGCCGCCAAGCAGTAATGTCAGCGTTACTGTGTTCCTGTTTTGAAGGGTAAGGGTGCTGGTGAAATTACTGGCACATGGGACTTTTCAACTTATGTCTCAGGATGACGGGCGCAGTGGCAGTGGAACTCAGGTCACTTGATATAATAAAAAAAAACAGCGTCCCCTAGTTTTTTTTATAACATCAAGTGACGGGACCAACAAGTCGTGCGCCTGATGGTAAGCTACACGCCTGGGCATAACAGTTACAGTGCCACTCAGAGCTTTAAATTGCATAAAGTTGACAAGTAATTTCACCAGCACCCTTAACCCTTCAAAGCCGGAACACAGTAATGCTGTCATTACTGCTTGGCGGCAGGAAAAGGTAAGGTGGCAGTACTACCCTGGACCGTTTCACCCCACAAGAAGCTTTATTGCTACTATTTCCCTGATGTGTGCGGTATTGTTATTATTAGTATAGCAGCGTGTCTGGTCCTCAGGCGGCGCGCTAGTGGACGGGCGCGACCGCTGCCTGCGCACGGCGCTGCACGCGGCTGCGTGGCGCGGGCGCGCGGCCGTGCTGCGCGCGCTGCTGAAGCACGGCGCCGACGCGGCCGCCGTCTGCACGCAGGGCGCCACGCCACTTGGTCAGTGCCTGGTCCGTTGCTCCGCTGCTCGCATTCTAGGAGCAGAAGACCTTGTGAAAGAGTGATCATCTAATAGACCATCTAACCGATATCTAGGATTTTATAATACTCTATGTGTGTAACGAGCTTTGCCGAATAAAACTGAGAAATGCTAAAGTCACGTGTTGTGCTCATTTCAGTGAATTCAGAACTTTAAAACGCTCTTTTGTAAACTTGGCAATTTCGACATACGATACTTTACGTAGGAGGGGTCAAAACATCTGTTTTAAATAGTAAAAAATTTAGCACAAAATTCTCTTGTACAAACAGTTAAATTAGTTAACGTATTCGACTTACTTGTCCTAACTATGCATAGCTGAAACATCATTAACCAATTTCATTATTCAAAAACTAGGTTATGGTTTTTCATGATATCTCAAAAAAATATTTTATTACTTAGCCTCATTTTAGTTAGAGCGGACGGCAGTACTGTCATCTTACCTGTTTCTGCCGCCAAGCACTCATGTGAGCACATCGAGTATATAACCAGAAATAGAAACGAATTAAGGTCCATCCATTCGTGGCAACTCGTCAGGCAAATGGGCTTTATATCACTTTTAAATATCAACTCTCGTTTGCAATCACAAATTAGAAAGCAGAAATAATACAGCGCCAACAACTGACCTGTGTATACGTCTCCGTATATTCCAAAAATAGTCTGTATTTATTGCAATAAAGATAAATATTAAATATGTAATTTTGCAATTATTGTCCATTACAGCAAAACTCAAGTTAAACTAGTCGATTTGAAGTGAAACAATTGACGAAACCCGTCAATTGTTTCAAATCGGGCTGGCCAATCGGAGCGCAGTTGTGACCGGAATGATTTGGCAGAATAGTTTTCAAACAAATTAAATGGCATTTCGTATCTATTTCTGGTTATAAACTCGGTGTGTGAGCATTATGGTGAAATTACAGGCGCAAGGGACTTGTCAACTTATGAATCAGGGTGACGAGCGCAGTGGCAGTGCCCCTAAGATCCTTACGATTTAAAGCTCTGTAAAGCACTATACAACTGTTACGAACAGGCGTTTCGCGTACGAAATGTTCGATCCGGATCCGGATGGTCAGATCCTCTAACAATATGCAACATGTCACCATTTTTCGCTCAAAATTATACTTTACGTCATTTTGCGAACAGGATTTAATTTAAAAGTATGACTTTCTGTACCCGTCGCCTTGTTCACAATCACGTAAACGCATAAACGCTTTATCTGTTATTTAATCAAATACGTGTACCTCTGTTTTAATTGTAAAATACCAATTCTTTAAAAGACTTTTGTCTTACTTAATAAAAATAAAAGTAAATGACTGCTACTCCACGAAAACAGTGAAGCTAGCAAACGCGTAACAGATTTTTTTCGGCCGAACGTCAAACAATCAACGACTTCTAAGATAAGCGAAATAAGTGTCGAATATGTTTTTGATGGTTGTGCTTGTGATTGTAATTGCATTTATGTTTTTTATTTTATAAATTTTATGCGGTGGGAAAATTAACTACACGAAAAATATATTCAACACTATCGCGGTTATTTTGCACCATTCAACCTCCGCTAGATTCGCGGAGTGAAAAAGTAATATATTTCCATTTTTATAACACGAATTTCCTGAAAGCAACGCCTGAAACTATAAATTGTTGTCTTACTTTATTTATGATTTTTTTTAACAGGTATAGCGGCGCAGGAGGGGCACGAGGAATGCGTTCTGTGGTTATTACAACATGGTGCCGATCCGTTACAAGCAGATCATTGTGGTATGTCTACATTTGGAACTCCTGAACGTCAATTAGGTGTTTTATCAAAAGGCTGCATTCATTGGAAACGCTAGGACGTTAAACAATTTGATTTAGAAATATACATGAACGACAAATCTGACTTTGACCATCTCAAGGCCAAGGTGTATAGGCACTTTCTTTTTGAAGACGGACTACAATGCATTTGCATGGTTGCCAGTTTTCATAAAATTTTAAGTTGTCGTGTAATTGTAGTCCACAGTTTTATCGATAGATTGTGAAAGTAGATTCAGTTTTGCCAATGACGTCTGAATGTCTCTGAATGTCACGACGTTCTAATGATTACTAACTGCGTTATGGCCTTCTTTATTCTTATTTTGACAGTTGGTTACTAGTATCGAAAGCAATTTTTATTAATATACACTTTAACAAGAACGGGCGGGTTTGATTATCTAGATTATCTATTTGCATTGAAATGAAATGTTTAAAATAATATGTCTCCTTTTTGTATTTTTAATTGACCTAATATTAGAGAAATTACGAATCACAATAAAACACCGACAATCAAATACACACTTAGTTTATTCATAACACAATCATGTGTGGTAATATCGAAAGTCGCGCGGTCGAAGCGCGGCAGGCGGGACTACACACAACACGTATAAACGTTTGGTCGCGGACGCGCGAACTGACCGTAGGCCTAGATCTGTCGCCACGGTGTGCATGCATAGTGAGTGTATCATGGCTCGTAGAGTGGCCGCGCGCACAAACGTGTCCTTATACTAGTTGTAAATGCAGTATCTACGTATGAACTTACAAAATTTGACAATTCTAATGAATTTGTGCTTAGTTTTGGACGAATAATAGGCCGATGATGATTCACATGAGACGAGCTCGGCTATTTATTGCATATGCTTGTCCAACCTTCAGTCGATAGTCGATAGAATATGTATCGACTGCAATCACTAGCTGCTTGCAAGCGATCAACACTTTTGTACAATGAACATTCATTTGACTCCATCTTCAAAAAAGACAGACTATAGGAATATTTCATTGTGGTTATAACTTTTTTTTTCAAATTTAAATATTGACTCACCAAGACAACATATTTCGTAAATAGAAAGCTGTAAGCATTCCTTTGTCGTTCATATTCTGTAAAGTACAGTGTCTAAAGCCGTAAACGGAATGTTCCGTCAATGCATGCTTCTCGTACTGCACCAGACTTTGATGTTTTTGCAAGTGAATGGGTGGTGTGTGTGATGAATGTTTGAAGCTTTGTGAGAGGATGGATGAACGTCTGTCTCTGTGAATAATTAATACAAATTGTCTATTTATTATTTTAACAGTGCCTTCGTATTTTGCTGTAATGCTGTGTAGTTGTATGAAATAAATAAAAATGCGATTGTGTGAACGCGTTTCCGCTTTTTGTACGGAAGCCACCACACTTATTTATCGGTTTAAGCTGGTCAGGAAGAGCTTCGTATCATATTTTTAGCTTTAAAATAGTTCTAACAACAGAACAATATTCTTTAACTGCTTAATAGTTTATTTGTTTTGACTAGTCTGAAAGGGGAGGGCCTGGTGAATTGTAACATAGGTTTAATTGCTTAGTACGGTCGCCAGACTCTCACAATTGATGTTTTATGAACTTAATATTGTTAGTATTTGTTTTATCTTAGATGTGTCCCTAGTTATAATTATTTATGCAAAGATTGTCAATTCGAACCGACGTTTTCTACAAATCGTTCCAGACGCTATGCCAATTAATCTACGGAAAGAACCGGCGGACCTCACGAATTTCTCTATGTGCTTGTTGTCGGATCGTTTTTACAATAAGATTCCGGACATATATTAAGTTTATCATTTCCTAAGTTTAAAAACTACATTAAAAATATTTTGATCGAAAAAATCATATTACAAAATTGAAGACTACGTGTTAGATAAAGATGTATGGAAAGACGACACGGCTCCAGAATCCACACAAATTTGATTCAAAGTGTACTCCACAGCATTTAAGTTCATTTGAAACGAGCAATCCCTAGAGTTTCTTGCTCGTTCTTCTCAGGGAGGTCAGCGTAGTGAACGAGCTGTAGCTTAAATGTGACGATTTCAAGTGTAAATTTATTTTACCTATGGAATAAATAATCTTTGACTTTGACTTTGTATTAGGTTTTTCAACGACTTTGTGGCGCCATCATTGAGAAATATGTGAAAGTATTTCCTCAACCAGTTAGGCACTTTTTATAGCTACCAGCCCTGGCTAGAGATATCGCTATTAACTGTAATAAACTAGTGGAGTAATTTCACAAAAAATAATTGAATATCAATTGAATAAAAAATTAATCTGTTACTTGTGTTGGGATAATACACTATATTATGTTGTTCATGTCCATTGCAATTAGATCGTCGTTTTCGGTCTTATTACACGAACACAGCTTATTCTAATGATGAGCGAGGCCCCCTATGGCAAGCACACCGTACCGAGGCTTGACGGAAGTGTGGTTGCAGGGCGCACGCCGGGCAAGGTGGCGTGGCGCGCCGGCCACGCGGGCATCTGCCGCCTGCTGGAGCGCGTGTCGGGCGACGCGCTTGCGCCCGCCGTGCCCTCTGCGCCCGCGGCGCCCCTCGACGACGCAGTCCGGCCCAACAGGACTGGTCAGACTCCGCCTTCTACTTTTATTACTTCATTAACCGACTTCAAAGAAGGAGGAGGTTCTCAATTCGACTGTATGTTCTTTGTGCCGTTAACACGTTGCACTGCAGGATGTATGTAAATGCAAGTAGGACGATGCAAGGAGATAGAGAGGTGCTAATTGCAATGCAAATGATTGGAGTACTATTAAATAATGTAAATAAAACGACCGTGTCCGAACGACACAATAATAACACTCATTTATTGCAAAATATACATCTATCACCGTGGTGTTGCAGTAAGCATAAATCGAATACATATGATATCGTGCGGATTTACTTGTGCATATCAAAATAACAAAATGTAAATCATAAAAAATGTACGGTATCACTCGTACATTCTTTTTTTTTGTATGTATGTTACGCGATAACGCCGGTATTTGTGAACCGATTTTCATGATTCTTTTTTTGTTGGAAAAGGGGTACTTCCATAGTGGTCATTTTGAAGAAAATCATCCACCTCTAAGGGTGGCTGTTCATGCATGAAGATTCATTTTTATATGCAATTCAAGACGTTTTTCTCTCAATATACTTTTGAGTAGTGAGAACCGATTTTTATTATCTCCAGTGTCAAGTCCTGTATAGTAACTTAGCAAATAGACGTAATTCCACGTACTTTTGAGGTCGGTTTTTTTAGTACTCTGTACTAAGATTATTATTTTATACATGATCAATGACTAACGTGACCATAAGTCCCGCTTTTAAGCTTCTTGTCCCGCTTCCCCAAAAGACTTAAAAATGTTAGTAAAAATGTTAGACTTAAAAACTTAGTACCTAGTTACCTGTTTCTATCGCCAAGCAGTAATGTAACCATTACTGCGTTCCGTTTTTGAAGGGTGCTCGTGAAATTACAGGCACATGGGGATTGTCAGTTTATGTCTCAGGGTGACGGACGCAGTGGCTGTGCCCATCAAATCTTTGCGATTTAAAGCTCTGAGTGACACATCAACTGCTATGGACTGGCGTGTAGCTTACCGTCAGGAGCATGACATGTTCGTCCCGTCACTTGATATATTAAAAAAAGAGGCTACTCGAAATACTTCATTATTTTACGTAGACGAAATTACGGGCACTAGCTAGTATTATAATATGTAATATTTTTTTGTTCTTGTCTAGGCTCACCCGAATACAAACGCCGAAGCGTGCACAGCTCTAACTCAACAAAATCGTCGTCGAACTTAACCGGCGGCTCGGGTCGGTCACACGACCACGCCGACCAAAACGATCTGACACACTCGCATGAAAAAGTAAGTACAGTACAACTGCCTCTGATTGACGATATTAAGGTTTACGTCCCATTGTAAATGTCGGTGTTTGTGACTTTTCATCAGGAGGACCGTCTGACTGTTGCATACAACAGCAAACAAAGGACAGACGGCAGGGTACAACAGGCCTTATTGCTAGATAGATATGGGTGTATAAATGCTCATTATATAAACATCTATTACCTGTATTACACCCAACCAAATGAAAACCTAACCAATTCCCCTGTCTTAGCGATTTAAAGCTTTATTTTGTAAATATGTGTTTGTTTGCCAGGCGAACCGCGCGAATTTGTCGCTCTCGTTTGCGCAGCAAGTGGCGCGTGTAGGCCGTGGCAGGAGGGACAAAGACAGGGACAGCGTCATTCCCGAACATCACGCTGTTCAACAGGACTCCAAACTGAGGTAACTACGTCTATGCGTGTCGTATTCAAGACGGGTTTGCGGTGAGCTCGTGTTAAGAACAATCAACAACGTAACGTGTTTGTTATACTCGTAATTATTAATACAAAGATCGAACAGTTTGATAAAAATCGACGTCTTCTATAATCTTTATAGCAAACCACATGAATTTTTAAAGAGCATGTCGCTTCACTAAAATTATAAAATAAAAGAGTCCAGGAAGTATTGCATTTTTGTCTGTGGTTGTATGTCAATAATCACGGAACTTCAGAGGCAATTCATTTTTCAGAAGTTAATAAATGGTTGGACAGAGTATAATTATATCAACCAAGTTTCTACAAACACTTTGGATCATTGCATAGACATAACCGACACTACTTATGTCATAAATAATTTGGTCGCATCTGTAAGTGATACTTATATACAACAGAAGCTACGTGGTCAACGAACGGGACACGGACCTCCGCGGCTACGCGCGCGAGCGAGACAGAAGACGCGAGGAGCGCCACGGCGCGGGGAGGGAAAGGGACAACGCTAGTCCGCTCTATGCGTCCCCACCGCGCAGCCCCATCAGCGACGTCTGTAGTCCCACTCAGCCTAATGTGGCATTTGGTAAGTCCGCTTCATAGAGAAATTAACTACACACACCGGTGGCGCATTTAGGGGAACAAAAAAGTGAGATCTTGAAATAGTACCGTTAAATTGGAGTTCGTCCAGTAAATTACTTACCTGTTTCTGCCGCCAAGCAGTAATGTTAGAATTACTGCGTTCAGACACGTGGGATTTGTCAACTTACGTCTCAGGGTGTCGGGCGCTGTGGCAGTGCCCTCAGATCTTTGCGATTTAAAGCTCTGAGTAGCACTGCAACTGTTATGGACAGGCGTGTCGCTTACCACCAGGCGCACGACTTGTTCGTGCCGTCACTTGATATTATAAAAAAATATATAGAAGGTTTATTTGTGATTCGATAGGCTCGCAGCCGCCTAGCCTGTCGGCCGCACCCGCTGCGACGGACACGCACTTCAACCGCGACACGCACATGCGCATTATCCTCGGCCGCGACACCAAGCCGCCCGAACGAAACGACAGGTAACATTACTTACTTCACTCATTACTTTTATCCATCTTCCTATAGGTAGAACTAGTGATCTTAGAATAGCGGTGCCGTCATCTAGCTGCTCCACAGTACTATTGTCTAAAGCACCAAGTACTGGAGGGGTTCAGTTTTTACGAAAGTTGACGATTGGATTGTTAACTTACCTAATTTTAATATGTTTATTTGATTGATATTCCCGCTTGTCAGTTCATTTAGATCAAATAAAGAGAAAAAGTTAATGTCGTATTTATTTTATCGTGTACGGTTTTACAAACGCACATTTTAGCTTTGGTTACTTTGCACATAAGTAGACAATTAATTTAGTGATTAACGAACATTCTTACGCTTAACAGAATATAGTCCGGTGAGTGTGTGGTTATATTCGGTGAATATATTTCGGTAAAATTCGGATTGCTTCTAAGCTTGGACTTTAATAAGTTTTTAGTAGACTCACAGATTATCTGGGCTCAAACTAAGGAATTCCGTCTGCTATGAGTACCAACAACACGTGAACTTCGGGGCGCACGCCCAGACAAGAAGTAATTTAGAAAACTTGGTGCTGACTGCAAAGTAACCCGTGTAAATTGTCTACAGAAAAATTAAACTACATGCTCTATACGTTATTTTTTATCGTTTTCCACCAACACTGAGTAAAGGTCTTCAATACAACACTTTAAATGTAATTTCCTTTCTCTCGTTTGTCAATTATTTTGTATTATGTCAACGGGCTATAATTATACGCTTTTTGTTGTTAAAAATGTACGCTTAATCAAAAGGCTTAACTATTGGTTAACCATTTTTACAGTCCTGCGAAGTTGTTAATGTTCAAGTAACTCTGTACTCTTCCAAGTAGATTCAATGCGTCCGACCTGCAATAAGTGTAAAGGGCAAATGATAGAAATCCGACGACTCACGAAGGTTGCCGAGATATATTAAAAAAAAACAGTCGTACCGTACATAATATATTTTTTACATAGTAAACGATAATTTATTTTTTTAATTTTATTTACGAATAAGCGAGGCGCTCTCACGTTCTCGGCTTACGTACAGCCGCCTCGTGGGCAGCCTCGGGCGGGCGCGCGGCCGGATATTTAAGAAAACGTGAGTCGAAATCTTTTCACCGTTGCTCTGTGGATGTACGAGGGTCAAAAACCACTGGAATGCACTGAACTTGTATTATAAACATACTTTATTTAAAGTTTTCGCGATTGTTAATTTGAAATTGTAACCATTTATTCGGAACTAACACGCATTTTCCATTAAGCGGCTAATCGTGGGCGGCTGGCGGCGTAGACTATTATTTATTAAAAATTTATTGAAGTCATTATAGCGGCCGCGACTTTTAAGTAAAATTTGCCTGTACGACTGCAGTCGCTCGCGACTAGTCGCTTAGTGGAAAATGGCACTATATCACGTGTATATATTTTTTCAAACAACCGTTTCGGGATCTTTAAAGGCCGCATGGTCACGGTTGACGGTTGGTTTGTGTGAAAAAATAAATATACGCTATGTATATACCAAAAAATTTTTGCCTTTCCGAATAGTTTAAATTTATTTTTTTGTAGCACCACCTTTACATTTCCTATTTTTGTTACTTATCATTAAATATAATAGATTTAATTTAGTCGAGGTTACGGTTCATTGTTTTTTCATCGAATGCGAATATTTGGAATAATAAAGGTTTTCGTAGCAACTGTTTCTCTACATTGACTTTACAATGTCCGTAATCACCAGTGATTGCGTGATAATGTCCTTCTTTTCACATTTGTGCTTGTAGCACAATTGTTGCAACAATAATTTATATATACGTATTGAAAAAAGGTACGATACGATATACGATATTATGGAAATGATTTATTTAACATTATCATATTTTTTATTACTTTAATAATGAGATAAGAGTCCTCATCACTTTGCTGTGCCTTAACAGAGTATCACATCCACATTAACAAGCCGCTGTACCTCAAATAATATAAGTGAATAACAGAGTGGCCGCAGTGATATAAGATAATAGTTATATTAAACACCCGCAATAAATTTATTAACTAAAGGAATTTAGACTACTTCCGATGTTAGGAACGTTGGGCCGAAAAGTAACTTATAATTCAGCCACGTTGTAATGCACGAGGCGCATGTTACTGCTGCGAATGCAAGTGTCTTGACCTGATGTTACAGTTGTTCGCATATCTGGATACATAACAGGTGTGACAATGCAACAAGTAAATAAATAAATGAAATATTGTCTATTATAACATGTACTATCCAATAACTATGGATTTGGAAATATTTTTATTGTTTAAATCAATTCACATGAACGACTTGAAAATCAAGCTACAATTCGTCAGTAGGTCAATAACCGGCAGTTATTTTTACAAGGGCTTATAAGTAATAAAATAATTTGTTGCTCATTGGGACCCATGTCTAAGTGAAATGTACATCCATGG